CGAGATATACCGGGACGCTTATTCATTTCGTTTACCTTAGCTTTAGTTTTCAAATCATTCCGGAACACACCGCCCGCCTCGAATGCTCGCATTCGAAAATATATCCATATACAATGTCGCATACAGTACAACGACTCTATCGCTAGCTACAGTGAGTCGCGGAAGTCACATCGACTCCGCTCGTGTCACACGGCTCAGACTCAACGCCGCCCGCCATGGCGGAATCTTGTGTAGAATTTATATCAATAGGAAGAAAGCACAATTTGGTAATTGGGCGTTTGTATTGAGAACGCGCGGTTTGAACCGTGACGACACGGGTGAGGCCATCGTCGCCGGGATGACAAGCCGTTATGCGGCCAAGCTCCCATTGACATGGAGGCGCGAGCGCGTTTCGTAGGAGCACCATTTGACCGACCTTAGCGAGCTTATGCGCGACCCTCCACTTGGGCCTCTGCTGCAAGTTAAGGAGATAATCATTCGACCACGATTTCCAGAATTGTTCGGTAATTCGCTGTATTAATTGCCATCGCGACAATCGGGTCTCGTTGATCTCGAGAACGCTGGGTTCAGGGACAGCCATAAGAGGTCCTCCGATAAGGAAATGACCGGGAGTTAAAGCCTGGTAGTCGTCTAGGTTCTCGGACACCGCCGCGATTGGACGGGAATTTAGGCAAGCCTCGATGCGACACAACACGGTAGCGAGCTCCTCGAACGTAAGCGTGTATGACCCGACACAGCGTTTAAGGTGATACTTAACACTGCGTACTGCGGCTTCCCACAGCCCTCCGAAATGTGGAGCGGAGGGTGGTAGGAAGTGCCAGGCAGTGCCTTCGGTAGCCAAGTGATTCAGAAAATTCGGATCCTTGGTAGTAAGTTTTATCGCGGTGGTTAGTTCACGATCGGCACCCTGAAATGTAGTACCATTATCTGAGTATATGGACGTAGGGCGTCCTCGACGAGATACGAAGCGAGACAAGGCGGCAAGGAAAGCGGGGGAGGAGTAATCGCTGACGAGCTCCAGGTGGATCGCTCTCGTGGTCATACAAATAAAAACAGAGATATAGGCTTTATGAGCCTTGTTGCCGCGTCCTTTCGCAGTACGTACAGCAACGGGGCCGGCGTAGTCGACGCCGGTGTGAACGAATGCTCGGACGGAGCGGTTTACGCGAACGCCTGGGAGGTCGCCCATGAGCTCGCTTGGAATTGGTGCTAGTTCTCGCGTGCAAATAACGCACTTATACAAGACGGCGCGGACGAGTGAGCGCGCGCGGAGGATCCAATACTTTTGGCGAAGCAACGCTAGCGTCAATTGCGAGCCAGCGTGAAGCGCTCGTACATGAGTATCGCGAATCAGCAATCTCACTAATGGGTGGTCCCTTAGGACGATGGGGTGTCGAGCGGTTTCCGAGATGTTCGCATTACGCAGTCGACCGCCGACGCGAATAAGCTTTTGATTGTCGAGGAACGGGTTTAGCGGAAGCAGAGAGCTTGATTTTGGAATAGGCACGGCGTTTGTCAGGGAGGTTATTTCGTTTAGAAACAAATCGGCTTGGATGGACTGTAGCCAGAAGTTTTCCGCGGATTCGACTTCGACAGGCAGTAGGACGATGGAAGGCGGCGAGATAACGAATGGATCTTGCTGCTGGGATCGGATGTTGCGGACGAATCGCTGGATGTAAGCAGTGACGCGTAGCAATTTCGACCAGGATGAGTACCGTTTCGATAAGTCCCATGAGGGGGTGACCGTCGTGGTATGTGCGGTCGACAGAGGCGGTCGTTCTTCGAGAGTGGTTTTTGTTGCTTCTGGTAGGACGTCTTTTGGCCATTGTTCGGGTGGCTGGATAAGCCAGGAGGGACCTGACCACCATAGGTAATGTGCGGCTAGCTCGGCGGGAGAAATACCGCGTGACGCGCAATCGGCAGGATTCTCATCTGAGGAGACATGACTCCATGAGGTGTTTGGGAGTGACGTTTGGATGTCGGCGACACGATTCGCCACGAAAGTTTTCCAGCAGGCCGGTGAGCGACTCAGCCAGGCCAGAACTACTTGGGAGTCGGTCCAGCAATATGTCGGTGTATACGGCATATCGAGCGATCGACAGACGAATAGGAGGAGTCGGGCAAGCAATTGGGATGCACAGAGTTCCAGTCTCGGGACGCTCATGGTCTTCAGCGGAGCGACCTTGGATTTTGCGGCCAGCATCGTCACAGTCACCGTACCGTCCATCGACACGGTGCGCATGTAGACTACCGCCGCATAGGCCGTGGTGGAAGCGTCGGAAAATCCATGTAACGCCTTGTCGAGTGTATGAGGGCCGTATTGAGTCCAGCGTGGGATGGTGATTTTTTCCAGTTCCGGAAGTTGCTCGTAGTAGCGGCGCCATTGCGTAAGAAGGTCGGACGGAACTGGTTCGTCCCAACTGCACTTCGACGCCCACAGTTGTTGCATAAAAATTTTTGCCCGAATAACAACTGGAGTAGCCCATCCGAGGGGATCGAAAAATTTGGCAATCTCGGATAGAATTTTACGCTTGGTTTCTCCCAGGGTGGGTGATCCTTTCACTTGAAACTGGAAGACATCGCGGTTCGGGTTCCAACTGAGACCGAGGATTTTTATTCTTTCATCTTCGCGAAGTTCTCGAGCTTGAGCAAGGCCGTGATCAGCAGGGTCGATGTCATCGAGGAGGTCAGATGAGTTGCTCGCCCACTTACGCAGAGTGAACCCACCTTTCGCCATGATCGCAACGACTTGATCGCGAGTCTGCCGCGCGAGGGTTTGGTCATCCGCACCAAAGGTAAAATCGTCGATGTATCGTTTTCGTTGAAGCACCGGAATGGCGAGTGGAAACGCAGCTCCGTGGTCGACGACGAGTTGTAATGTGACTTTCAGTGCCAAGAACGGGGCAGCGGCAGTACCATATGTGACCGTGCATAAGCGATAGGCCAAAACGGGGGAGTCGGGATCGGGCCGCCAGAAAATCCGTTGGTAGTCACAATCGAGGGGATTTACCAGAATCTGTCGGTACATTTTAGTCACATCAGCAGAATAGACGTAGCGATACAGACGCCACTGCAGGGTGACGGCAGCGAGATTCGTTTGTAGCTTAGGGCCGACAAGGAGGTGGTCGTTAAGAGAGGTGCCGTTGGTGGTTGGACTGGACGCGTTGAATACAACACGAATTCGCGTCGTTGTGCTACCCTCCCGGAAGACAGCGTGATGAGGGATGTAGACGATCTGTGTCGGATCAGTCGACTCCTCGGTGTCAGGAACTAGTTGCATATGCTCCAGGTCAGCATATTCCTTTAAGAAAGCGTAATATTCGGCGGCTTTAGCTGGCTCTCGTTTTAAACGATTTTCTGCGCGAAGGTAACTTTGGAGAGCCGACCGGCTAGACTCTCCTATGGAAATCGGAGGTCCCCTTTTAAAGGGTAATCGGACAACGTAGCGACCGTCGGGATTTCGGTAATGTGTGCGGAGAAAATGCTCCTCACACGCTTGGTCCTCAGGAGTTAATAGGGACGTGCGGGGAATTTCTTCCACCTCCCAGAAGCGTCGAATGTTGAAATCGAGATCTTCATCCACTGAGGCATGATGTACGTCGATCCTTTGGCTCGAACGCGCTCCTCCCGTTGGGCCGGAGATAATCCAGCCTAACACCGTATTTTGGGCTATTGGCTCGTTCGCGGCGCCCTTACGAACTCCGTCGAGAATTAAGGAGCCGAAGAGTTCGGCACCAATGAGAACGTCAATCGGAGCGGATCCCGCGAAGTCCTGATCGGCGAGGGTGAGGTCCTTTAAATGGGGCCAGTTCATCGGAGCGTGAATACGGTTAGGCAAATACCGCGTTAAGGATTTTAAAATTAAGGCGGAAATGGAATAGGCCGGACTGGCGTGCGTACTTGGAGTAATAGTGATGGTAGCTGCTTGTCGAACTGACGTGTGCGTCTCTCCGATACCGGTTACAATGATGGACGTGCGAACTTTCGGAATACGCAACGACTGGGCTAAGTTTTCGGTTATAAACGATGCCGC